ATTGAAGGTAACAAACTATAAACATGAAAGTACATATATTTTCTTCTAACAAATCCAGAAGTATTCACTATAACATTGACGCAATAAAGACATCTCAAGGGCACTCTGTATATTTTTTTCAATCAGTCATCTTTATCATTGTTATATTTACGAAAACTAAGACTGGCCGTAATCATAGCTTTAGATAAAAATAAAAACTTTATGCAATTCAATATTAGTATTTCTATCTCATACATTATGAGATATCAAAGAGAGAAGCAAATAGGTTGTCATTATGTAGGTTTGGGCTAAATGAAAATTCGTTATCTTTATAATATATCCACCTGGATGTACATACAGTGTGTCCAAAAAATGTGATATTAACCTGACATCTGAGTCCAAAAGTCTGTGATTACATATTATTTTTAAAGGCATGGTTATTAGAGAACTATATTATAATTTCTGAGTATTAATAACCTTTTTCTCTCATTACACAAAACATATATAACAATGTTTAATTTTTGCAACACAAACTGTTAACATTGTATTCCTATATTATTTTTACCTTATAACGCATCTTTCTTCAAACTCAAGACCTTAATCATAACGCTAGGCTAAAGGGTGATAAAAACAAGGCAAAACATGATAAACACTTATAACACATGTTGAAAGATGTAATAAAAACAGCTACAGTTTACATTGCCTGTAACACAGCATGTTTACTTCTCAATTTGTTTATGTTTCCAATATACTTAAAATAGACTGCCGCACTTAGATACTTATAAAATTAAATGAAATGCATTATGGATACTTCTTGAGATTTTACATTCTACATACATCTTATTGTAAATGTTAAATAGTGTTTTGTTCGTAGGTGTGATTAACCTTACATTTTCGATTAAAAATGTTGAGCTATAAATGACACACAAATCAGATTAAAAAAAACTCACCCTGTATAGCCCTCTGATGCCTTCAGTTCTGTATATTTTTGTAAGGCCATCGACCATGCCCTTGTACCTCTTGTTGTCTGCTAGATGTTCATCGCTGTATTGCAGGCAAAGGCGTGTTTTCACCACCCAGATGGGGTTGGTCATAATAAGAGATAGAACTCCAGCCTCTGCTGCCGCTAACATATGAAGCCCAGGTCCTAGAGGTGTACGGGCATTGCCACCTTGTATCCATGTTTTTATTGCATTGTAACTGAAGTCATAATTAAAAATATAATAAAGTAATTGATGTGAAAAATCATAAAGAATAAATTTATACCATTGTGCGATAGCATCGGAACACAAAATTTATTGTTATCAATTCATCGCTTTTATTAACGAAAACAATTTCTACTTCCATACCTAAAAGTATTGTGACATAAAAGCCAAAGGGCAAGAAATTTAAAAAAAAAAACTATAAATTAATAAAACTTAGAGTGATATTACAAAGATAATACTTACAATAGGAAATAAAAGCCCCAAGCAGATCCAGAACCCCAGACATTGGGAGTTACCCCACGGTACAACCCTTTTACACCTTCTTTTTTAACTATTGTAACAAAAGCACTACCAAGGCCATCATATCTCGGTACTGTTGCGGTCCTGCCGTCATTAACTGTGAAAATATTATGTTATAAACAAATACTTCCTTTTTATGACCAAATTAAAGAGATATAATCCATTATGTGTATTTATGTATGAACATGAGATGAATAAGTGGAAATTGAATGGAAAAATTAGAGTTCATATACTAGAAATCATAAGACAATAGGGAAATAAATAATCAAATTGCTTCAACATGCCAAGAACAATGACATTGTTTTCAGAAAAATGAACACTGATCAATAAGAACACATCTTCATTCATTCATTTCTTCCTTAATGAACATGAGTGTGTTTTCATTATATGTTGACTTTTGAATGTTAAATATAATGTTAATACATATTCAATGAAATGAAAAATATAAATTAGCTTTTACACTAACATAATAAAATTTTATGATTAACGATTACTACTTTCATTATATTTCCTTGTATGGCAAATTATATTTGTTAATTTGGAAAATTAAATCCCTAGATTTTAAGCAAATTTTCAAAACATGAAAAATTATAAATCTTGCAATTTTTGTAATATCTAATTGTTTTTTTGTTAGAATTTACATTTAAAAATAACACATATTCAATTAGTTTTTAATGGAATAACTACTATTTGCATCAAATAATTGTCCTACTAGTTTTATTTATTATTGCATCAGGAACTCGACTTTCACTAGATGCAGATCAAGTTCAGGGTCAAAAGATAACCAAAAAAACACAAAAATACCACGTAATGATAAATTTCTACAATGTATCATTATTTCCTTAAAATAATAGTTAGAACAATTGGTGACCAAAATGACAAGTGATTAGAAACTGACAAAAATACAAATACGCACCTGCAAATCTGATTTTGATAAGGTCCAAAGGGTGGAGAATTAAAGTAGAGGTGACACCACCTGATATTCCAGCTACCAGGTGTTCATATTTAATATGACTGAAGAGGGCGAGCTTAGAAGACGACGTATTAGGATTCTTCATTGTAGTCATGTTGATTAAAATAAATCACAGTTGAAACATTGTGCAAGGACCTAAGGACACCTATACTCGCCGCGCTATATCACTTAGACAACTGATAAATTTCACTAAAAAACAATCACCACTGAACATCATTGCTTTCGTAATATACCAACAAAGTATAAAATGTGTGAACAGGATGATTTCCACATGATTTCTTTCATGTAATTTTCGTCGTATTCTTACGCGTTTCGTTTTACGTTAATTGTACGGCTGAATTTAGTTACCCGAAACAATGTTGAACTATGAACATCTGTTCTTTGCAATATAAAATAAAATACTTTGTGACAAAACTGATTAAGTTTGAATATAAAAGATTGCTACTAATTGCTTCAACTTTTATTAAAGTTCAAATTGTAATATTTATTAGCTGTATGTTTTGGACATGTGTCTTTCACTATAAAAAAAAAATTTGCAGCGGTGCTACCAGTTTGAAAAAATTTGCAAAATTTATTAGATTTAAGGTTCCGGTAATTTTTTGTGGAACATTACGATCGAAGAATATATAAAATGATTACGATGTTAACAATTTCACATTATTAAAGAATAACTAAATTAAGTAAAATAGCATCCTTTTCGCTTGAATTTACTCAATCCAAGGAAAATAAACATATTAAAGTTTATTTTAATTTGTAGTTCTATAAAATGTATTTCAAATAAGAAATTACAAATTTAAAATTATGATAAGCTGGCAGCACCAGCTTGTTCTACCAATTTTGTGGTTTTGATTTTTGACTTGACGTTTTCTTGAATCATTATTACACCATTACGTAAATCGGCGAGCGAAAATTTTTAGCAAGGGAAAGAGACTATAAGAAAAATGTTGAAAGCTGGAATTACTTTTAAATTACTCTCTAAACAGAGTAATAATGTGCGACTCCTGGCGACTGCCGTTGGTTATAAACAAGCTTTAGTTAACATCCCTCCGACAAAGCTGACAGTCCTCGATAATGGGATCCGTGTCGCTTCTGAAGATTCCGGGTCTCCGACTGCAACCGTAGGCCTGTGGATTGACGCCGGGTCAAGGTACGAAACCTCAAAAAATAATGGTGTTGCCCATTTTCTTGAACACATGGCTTTCAAAGGTACTAGCAAAAGATCACAAACTGACTTGGAATTGCTTGTCGAGAACATGGGAGCACATCTGAACGCATATACTTCTCGAGAACAGACAGTGTTTTACGCTAAATGTCTTGCAAATGATATACCAGTTGCAGTCGAAATCCTTGCTGACATAATCCAGAATTCTTCGCTCGCCGAACCCGAAATCGAACGAGAACGCGGTGTCATTCTCCGTGAAATGCAAGATGTGGAAAGCAACTTGCAAGAGGTTGTGTTTGATCACCTCCATGCTACAGCTTTTCAAGGTACACCTTTAGGGCAGACTATTCTCGGACCCACCAAAAATATCAAGAAAATTTCCAAAGCTGACCTACAACAATATATCAAGACTCATTATCAACCAACACGTATAGTGCTCTCTGGGGCTGGTGGAGTTGAGCATGAGAGGCTTGTAGACCTTGCATCAAAACATTTCAGTGGATTGAAAAATACTGCTCTGGATGTACCAGATCTTGCACCATGCCGTTACACAGGATCTGAAATTAGAGTTCGTGATGACTCTATGCCTCTTGCACATGTAGCCATTGCCGTTGAGGGTGCAGGCTGGACTGATGCTGACAACATTCCCCTTATGGTGGCTAATACTCTAATTGGAGCCTGGGATCGCTCTCAAGGTGGTGGTGCTAACAATGCTTCTTACTTGGCTCGTGCAGCAGCATCTGAAAATCTGTGCCATAGCTTCCAATCCTTTAACACATGTTACAAGGATACTGGCCTTTGGGGTATCTACTTTGTTGGTGAACCGTTACAGTTAGAAGATATGCTGTACAACATTCAAAAGGAATGGATGAAGCTGTGTACATCAGTGACTGAAGGCGAGGTTGAAAGAGCCAAGAACCTCCTAAAGACAAACATGCTCCTTCAGCTTGATGGCACCACTCCTGTATGTGAAGACATTGGCCGTCAGATGCTGTGCTACAACAGACGTATTCCAGTTCATGAATTAGATGCCCGAATTGAAGCTGTCTCAGTCCAAAATATCCGTGATGTCTGTACCAAATTCCTTTACGATCGCTGCCCAGTGGTGGCTGCAGTCGGACCCACAGAGGGTCTGCCAGACTACACAAGAATTCGTGCTGGCATGTACTGGCTAAGGGCGTAAATTAAAAATGTAGCATACTCTAGCAATGTCATATAAAATCAAGATTAAATTACTGACCCAAATGCCTGTGGTTTTATTGTAATAAAACACATTGTCTTTGGTCAATGTATTTATTATAGAAGCATAAGTTAATAAATCAATGTGTAAATAAATCTGTTCTTTTTTAATTGCTTTTATTTATGAATAAATTATAATTATAATAATAATTAGTTACATGAAAACTCTTAACATTACAATAAACAATACAATTATTAAACTGGGTTAGTACTTTCTACATTGCTTTCTTCAATATTGGCAACATTGGGCTTGCGAGCTGTACTTGTTTTTCGCTTCTTGCCGTATGGCAGCACTGGTTCATTGTGGCTTATAAGACTGGCAGAAGATATGAACACGGACACTTGCTCCGGAGTGGGACAAGCAACAATTAGGGTATCTTCATATGTGTATCCAGAGTTAGTGAGGAACTGTTCAACTTGGATGAAGTAACCAACAACATTATTCTGTAAATAAAAAGCCACATTAGATTATCAGTATTGACAGCTTTTAAAATATACAAAAAGCATAGACAAAAAATCTTTTGATATTTAAAAACATACCCGAATAGGTCGAAACAATATGAACTCTGTTTCTTTATTAGCCAAATATAATTGCATTGAGCGTTGTAAAGGTGCGAGATGAGCTTTTATTCGTCTCTGCGCCTCTTTCACCGCAACTGCAATTTCTTCAGGTAACATTTTTTCTTTCGTTTCCTCTGAAGTAGGAGTTTGTATCTAAAAATTAAAATCATTATTTATGGGTGGAAAAAATCCAATTTTTTTATACTACCGGGACTGATCAGGAAACCAATATTATGTACTCATTTTTTTTACATTGCAAAAACAATTTTTAGTGTTTTACTAATTTAAATGGTTAAAGATGAAACATTAAGAACTACCTTCTCAATAAAATCCACAATTGGTCCTGCTAATATTTCAGTAGCATGCTTTATAAACATTTCGCAACAATTCTTCAGTTGTCTGTCCACTTCCTTTCTTGAGTCTAGAAGATGTTCCTTGACCATAGGCGTCCCTTCTAGCAAAAACTCTAGCAGAGCATTGTTGCTGTTCAATGAAAATATCTGTCTCGGTTTCTGCATGAGGCCGTACGCCGCGTTCTTCATATTGCTAAAGTCCAACGTTGTTTCTTTAATCACAAAGTCTACTTGGAAGGGTGCAATTTGCTCTCTCAGGATGAGCAAATGCTTTATTTGGAATAATTCTCCGTCGATGTTTGTCTTTGTGGCTGATATTTGTTTTGCAGCGTTGTCAACGCTTTGAACGCACAAGGAGATGGCTTCCTGAGCTAAGCCCTGGAATACTCTCTTCTCTAGACATCTGTAGAGTCTGGAGAGTGCCGCTAGGGTCCGCCTGACGCCCGGGTACCACATGCCGTGAAGGTCTGCAGGAGATGCTTGAGGTCTCCTCTGAGCCTCGATGTTAATATTAGCAACCTCCTGTGACGTGGCCGACACGTCTGATACCATCGAATTACGAGAGTCGCTACGCTTTAAGCTTTGCTCTTGTATAGAAAGCGCAATTTGCTGTAAATATAATATGAAGTTTAGTTATTTATCAAAAACAAGATAAATCAATGTTTAGAAAACAGTCCAAATCAATATTAGACATAAGGTCATGGGACTTATTCTTTATTCTATCACTACAAAATCTTATGTTTTTTTTGTAATTGTGAGTGCGGTGTACCTCCATCATCTCGAGCTTGTCAGGGTAGGCGAGGTCGCCGGGCGCGGGGCGGTAGAGCAGCACGTCGCGGCGCAGATGCACGTGCGCTCGGAACACGAGCCGCTCCTGCGCGTCCTGCAGCAGCGCGCGCGCAGCACCGCCCAGCGCCTGCAGCGCCGCTGCACAATATCTCTCATTCAATTCTCCATACATGATGTAACAAAATGTGGCATATCTTTGATTGTTGGACGAAGTTTTGAAGTGAAACTTCTTTATAGACGAAGGCCGTCCTATTTTTTTTTAACCACGTTAGCTCTCAATAGAGAAGATTCAAAACAGAAAGGTAATGATGCGATAAAGTCATTTCAAGGTCAAAAGGCTGAACACTTGAATGTTGATTGAAAGCATGTCATCTTACGGTCGTTGTTGACCTGCTCCTCGATGACCTCAATGCGCAGGATGACGCAGAGCTCCGCGAGCGTCTCCAGGTGGTTGATGTGTATGATCTGTGGCCGCAGCCGCTCGTACAGACCCGTGCACAGCGACTGCAGGTACTCGCTGCACATTGCACATCATTCATCATCATCAGCCTGACTGAAACTCACATCATACGATATACGATAAGAGATTGTTATTGGTATGTCTTACTGCAACGCTGGCGATGGCTGAGCGAACAGGTTGGAGTAGAGCGCCCACTCGTCGCGGCAGGCGAGCGCGAGCAGCGAGCAGGCGGCTCGCAGCGCGGCGCAGTGCTCGCGCCCCGCCGCTCGCAGCGCCGCGCCCGTCGCGAACCCCGCCCCGCTGCTGCGTCGCGACAAGTACTCGCGCTGCGCGTCTGACAACAACGCCGCGTACCTGACAGATGAATACATTATACAACACTAGTCTCTCTCCATACAAGTAGAGTTGGCGCCCGGCCCTTAAAAATAAGCCAAAACATTAAGTTTTATGAAAGCTTGAGTGCGAACCACACGTCAGTAAAATTAAAAATGTACTATAAATTGTGTTAAAACAACTTTTCAGAGTGACTCCCATGAGATGAAATTTAAGTAAAAATATTTGAGTCAAAGAGACACAATTAATAAACAGGAATTTCAATTATACACAGTACAACAAAATAAATGAGATTTTGATAATAATAAAACACTTACTCTTCATTATTTTCAGCTCTTTTTTCTATCTCACTTATGACCATCCTTAACTTGGGTGCGACGGCTTGAAATTTCCCAAAGTAAACCGCATAAGCTGTATCCATTGTTTCCTGATCAGTTGAGTCTTCATCAGTAGTTAGAACTTGCTCAGTCGCCTGATTCAGCACTTGTATGATGTATGATCGTATGAGAGAGATCCCGCGGTTTTGAAGATGTCTATATTTCACAAAATATGTATGCGCTTCTTTGAAGTTGCTCTGAAATAGTGTAATACAAATTTAATATTTTTCTTATTATATCCTGGTTTTCATAGATGGATAAAATAAAACACTTTATAACAATACTAGCTGTTGCCTTCGACTACATCTGTGCGTGATTAGAGATAGATAGTTGCTGATTCTCAGACCTATTGAATATGCATATAAAATTTCGCAAAAATCAGTAAGTCGCTTGTAGCGATAAGGCCGCCCTTGCTTTGTAAATTAGTTATAATAATTGCCTTTTTTATGTAGTATGATAGCATTAAGAGTTAATAAATAAATAAATAAAACCTTTTTGGAGATTTGGATTTGGATTAAATACAATCATCTTCTGAACAACAATGAAATAAATTTTAAAATTTAAAATTTATTTTGTTCAGTTCAGTTGTATCTACTAGAGTAGGTTTTAGGTTAATTGGCTGAAAGTTATTTTGTTTTGATTACTGTAGATATGAATTCTAAGGTGTAAATAACTTACATGTGTTCTCATATAATCCAAGCATTCATCAATCTTAGCTAAAACATTAAAGAATGTCTCGCTGTTGACTGACATTGTCGGACTGTTCAGTCTCTGTGACAAATGTTCCACTTGCGTAAAGTAGTGTAACTTCTGTTTAATATCATCTCCTGTAAATTTAAAAGAAACACATTATGATATAGATAATGAGATATAAGTATGAAGATATTAAAAGGCATAATTCTCACCAATATTAGAAAGCTTAGTTTGATCGGCCAACAATTGTTCACTCATGGTGTGAAGAGCATTTGTTTTGTTTGACACCAAATTATATTCCTCTGACATCTTATTCAAATCTGTCATTGTAGCTTTTATCTGTAAATGAAAGTAAATATAAGTAGTATTATTTTCATAGTAATAGATTCTGCAGCAGTGTAAGCTGCTGGGTAAATGACTGGCCATAATAGTATAAAGTTTTCATATAAAATTTTCCTTCATCTATATCTCAACTGAATACTAGTTGTTCTTTGAAGTTTCCAGTTTGAAGAAATATGACTAGTAGCTTTTTAGTTTATACAACAAAAATAGAAATACAAATGTAAAGTTTTTACCTGATTAGTTAAAGAGACACATTCATTTCTCCTGTCCTCCAATTGTTTATAATATGCTTCATATGGAGCATCGTCTGCTTTAACTCCCGTCTCATTTAATTGTTCATACCAATTTAAGAATTCAAATGTATTATCTATCTCAGGCATTGTATCTTCTGGTACATTTTCACTACAAACCTCTGTTTTCTCCTGCTGGAAAAAATCAATCACACCAGTAATGTACTAATGTTAACTGCAGCTAGATGTTAAAGCTACAAGACGATAAGTTGCTAATAAGTTCTCAATTGCATGATCACTCTTATACTTTAAGATATAACTTTAAGATACTGACTTGTTCAGATTCAGATTTTATACCAAGTAACATCGATTCTAAGTCAAGAATTGCTTCCCTTTGATTAGAAGTTAAAGGCGCTAGAGGATTTTCAGATGTTTCCCATTGTAACAGTTTGGTTTGAATTTCTTTTAAAGTCATATTATCCATGTTATCATGGAAAACAATAATTTGATAATTCAATTTAATATTTTACAAATATGTTTAGTTTACTTGCTTTGACGTCAAACTCAATCTACAATGACGTTGACATTTCATTGATGTTATCAGAACCGTCAAGTCAACGTCAACACAACACGAAACTCTCAAAAAAAAAGTTCATTTTTGCTAATCAATTTTAATTAATATTTGGAATTAATTTTTCCTCACTCAAACCCAATTTTTCTTTGCAGTGAATCATCAAAGTAAAGTAGCATCAAGCCTCATAAAATTCAAAAAGTACAGCGCCACCTAGTAGGGAGTAGCAGTACCATTCCCATATATGACAATGGAGAGTGGTGACATCTTCGGACAAAACTTTACAAAAACTAAAATGAAACAAAGACATGTGCATAGATGGCGCTTTAACCAAAAATTGTCAATGTTCTTTTTTATTTGATGATTGATTTAATGAAAATCAGATTCTACGAAATTTTAAACTTACTCATTTAATTCAAAAGATAAACCTTCTTGTGATAAACATCAAAATTCTTAAGATAAATCTTATTGTAACTGGGAAGTACTCTAATAAACAAGGAGCATTAAAAATATTTAAACTTCACAAGTTTTAATGTCTATTTGTTGGTTACATTTATATTTATGGGCATGTTTCGTTTTATAAACGATTCCACGAAACGGTCAATTTAAAAAGCATCACATTAGAATGGAATGGCGAGTACTGTGTAAACCCTAATGTATAAATAATGTGCAACATGCATTTGTGTTACATCAACACTCGCTATGATTATTTCAATGTTTTCGAATTCAGTTCATTAATGTTTTGGTTCGTTTATTATCGTCACTGTAGACTATCATGATGGGTAAGGTTTATTTTAGACTTAATTACAGAATTCCCTTTCCCCTTTAAATTTCAATAATGCAAAGGACTCAGAAGTGGAAGGGTAAATATAGCAGCTCTGAAATCATTAAAATTTTGAAAGGTAAAAATAAGGTGATGTTTGTACAAGGAAACGCAACGCATTGGAAACTTGTTTACTTCTTGCAGACGCCAAAGTCAATGGCCATTTGATATCAAGTTCTCGCTTGTTTGCCACCAAACAACAGTCTAACACTATCGTTAATTTGTTATTGTCTCTATCTTCGATGTTATTATTCATGATACTCTGAATATGCAAGATCGCATATTGATATTACAAGTCAATATTTTACGAATAATGTAGCTACTTCTTGCGCCGACTCTCAACAGACGTCATTCGAGTCCCAGAACAGGTTGTGAATGGAAGTTTTATTAAAAGATCTTTGTCCTTTATCATTACAAATGTTTAAAAGATAATCTTGCTTTTGTACTCAATACTTTTAAAGTCTTTCATTTTAAGTGGCTAATTATTTAAAATAATCTCGCATTGTTTGGTTTTTCTTAAATCTTTTACAGCTTATGTATAAGTGATCATAAAAACAAAACAAAAGAACAAAGCTTTTGTTAAATATAAGTTAAAATTATTATTTTTCTTTGTATTGTATGTAGGGATTGTGGATAAGGTTTAATAAAAATAACACATTTTTAATAATTTTGCATTTATTGGGTATGAGGAACCTTTCTGGTCAACATAAGCTACATGGACATTCTCTGTTTACAATTATATTTACAATTTTTAGAATCACATATAATATTATTCATATCTAATAACTAGGGTAATGCTTTTAGGATTGGATTACTGCAAGTTGACAATAATCACGAGAACCTAACGACGTGTGCACAGGAACACGGCCGCGCTGCACTACCGGTGCGGTCCCGCGACAGCGTTCCTCTACATACGCTCACCGCACACTTTGTTCTTTTCATTTATTAAACGATAAACAATTGAAGCGAGTTAAAATACAGCAAATATACTTATAGTTTCATCTAGATATATCTCTTCATCTGATAACTGCAATCCAACTGTCACAACACGTCGTCACATCATCAACATCGCGTTCTCCCGTATTTACATTCTCCATCTCACAATTCTATTACAACTTGTACTATATACAAACAATTTATTAATCATTAAAAAAATACATTAAAACGCTATAACTTCTCTCTATCATCGATACATCGGCCTGGAATAAAAACTGTTTTTTTTTTGTTTCAGCGTGTACTAAGCCAGCTAACGCAAGAGGCGACTCTCGCGACTACGAGTTCTTCTAAACCTTAACGTCTCTCAGCATATAAATCTACGGACATCAAAGGCAACTCCGATGCCTCCAAAGGTTATAATATTTGTCATCATTACAGTAAAAATTACAAACTAAATGAAACCCCACAAATTGCACACGATACAATCAGACTACTATCGACAGATCATTGTTATCGGGCTGACGAGGAACAAACGCTTGCGAATTTACTATTAGCACGCTACAACTCGGATAAATAACTTAAAATTATTACAAAAAATGTATAGTAAATAAATAACAGTCATTGTTCAGTATGCGTAGGATAATCGACTATTTCATTACATTACATTATTAACACACGACCTTACAGATATCTTAAATGGAATACATTACGCGAATAGCGATATCTAACTTTAAACTGAATAAAAAATATAGACGTTAAACATCGACACACTAAAAAGGCTCGTCGCCGAGTTGCATAGCAAAAGCATGGCAGTTAGCACAAAGTTCTGCACCCTAAAGATTAAATAACAGAAAAATATATTTCTATGAGTCCAAGCGTGGTAATGTGAGCGAGCGCGCGGCTCGGGCTAGCGGCGGGCGCGACGTGCGCGGCGTGCGCGACGTGCGCGACGGGCGCGCGACTTGCGCGGCCCCCTGCAGCTAGCCTACGACATGACACAGCACGGCCGTGTTGCGGCCGGGCGCGGGCGCGGCGCCTACGAGACAGGCGGCTGCGGGCCCTGCGGCTGCGGCGGCGCCTTCGTGCCGACGGCAGGCAACTGTGCCAGCGTGTCCTGGCTGGCGTGCGCACGCAGGTACGTGTTCTCCACCTCGAGCTGGTTGATCCTCTCCATCAGTTCCGCGATGCGTTCTTTCAATACTTCCACTTCCTCGCGCACCGCAAACATCAAGTGGCTCTTAACCAGATCCTGAAATAATAAAAAATTGTCCGTTAGCGCCGTTTAAATTATAAAAATAAGTCGATACTCTACGTCCGTGTTTTCGACGCCAGATCCGAACATTCAAACCGGTTTTGAAACGCATCGCCGGTAAACAGATCTTAAAGTTCAAAATAATACTCGACATGCTAAAAATAAATCCTTATTACACAGTTACAGTTAGAATAACACAAATATTTCACAAAAGCAATAATTCAAACGTGAGAATAAGAAAACTTAAAAATAAGGCAAGACTATATCGCGAAAAAATTAACACTGAATTTAAATAACATAGACCTACTTCTGGATTAGGCACGACCACGTAACAGGTATCTTTCGCGCCCTTTCTTGTGATTTCGTAAAGGCAACCATCTTTGGACTGAACGACGTCAATCATGTTTCAGAGGTGCAATTGATTTTCGAGATGTGAACGTGCGCGTATCGGACAACGGACCGAGTTCGACTGAGCGCAAGGCGAGCGCGTCGAGCGAAGTATAGCAGCGAGAGAGTTGCGCGCGCGTCCTGCGGCCGACTGATGGTCTGATCGCGCGCGCGCCCTATTTAAAAATGGCGGCGCACACGTCATCGAGCGCCACGCGGCTCGCCCGTGCACCCTGAACTCTACTTCGCTACATATCGCCAATAACAAGCCTCTCATTTTCTTCACAATCGACATTTTTGAAGGAAATATATAGCCCCAGCTATTACATTAATTAAATTCGAATCTTTCTTTCCGTGTTGGACAAGTACAAACATTTACAAACATTATGGCCCTTAATTTTTTTATAAAATCTCTGACCTATAAATAAAGTGATAAATTGTTCATGGACTAAATTATCTTTACTAAATATATTTTCACGTACCGATGCTTTACGTATTTTAACAAAGAAAATATTTATGTGACTTTAAATCGGAGCATATTTGTGCATGGATTATAAATTGTAGGAAAATCGTGTCTCTATTGTTGGCGCAATAAATATTATCATAAAAAAAGCGCATGTCTGTTTCTTTACATAGTAACCCAGACATTTTCTTGACATCTGTAATTTGCAACTTAAAGAAGACGAATATCTAAATGTGTATTAAACGAATTTCGAGAACGTACAAGCGACAGATCAAGTGTTTGTTTGCTAAGACGACTCATTGTCGACAATTAAACTTCATTAAAATCTATTTTCGCTCTTTATAAAGAGGACACGGGCGACAAAAATAAACAAAACAAAGGAGAAATCAATTACGCAATAAAGCCAATGGAAATGTTTAAAAACCGATAAATTTTACGCACTTACAGAAAATTACGAAGGTCCGCAAATAGTACATTGTAAAGATAGAAATCTGATTAGGAAATAATGATAAACAGGAATGCGGATAGCGATTGAACATACATATATAGAAAAAGATAAATTATATTTCTGTTGTTAATAACCAATTAACCTACCAACATTGATGCTTATTATGTATTACGCATTTATTAATATCGGTTACTTATTAATATCTAATAGTTCATTGCTTATGGATGTCGAGAAAATATGCACAGAATAAATAACTCGATTCAATAAACTAATTTAGATATGACAAATATTGAGACGGCGAAACTAAGATCATCTGAGCTAAATATTTAACGCTATAATTAGATGGTAAAAATACTATTGAAGAGATTATTTAAGCGTGGGAGCTACGACCTTCAATCAAAGCAATTCCAGTACTGACTGGCACGCACTGAATTACTGCAATCGCGATATATCAACGCCAATTCTCTTGATGGAAAATTGATAAACACTACGACAAATAAAAAAGCGTTCGGAATAATTTTACGTATAAAATTACTAACAATATTTCGTAAACTACTGAGTATAAGTTAAATTATCACAAACAGGAAAATAGAGATCATGAAACATTACACTTTTCAGATAAGTTTTAAATTAACACCTTTATCAAGTTTACAAACGTTTATATGCTAGTAGGTAAGTCTGATAAGGTTAGA